CATTTAAGGCCACTGTTTCCTTGTTGATTTTCTGTCTGGATGATCTATCCATTGATGTAAGTGGGGTATTGAAGTCCCCCACTATTATTGTGTTGCTGATAGTTTCTCCCTTTAGGTCTCTTAATAGTTGCTTTGTATACTTTTGTGCTCCTGTGTTAGGTGCATATATATTCATAAGTGTTATGTCCTCTTAGTGGAATGTCCCTTTTATCCTTATATACCGCCCCTCTTTGTCTCTCATTATCATTTTTATCTTGAAGTCTGCTTTGTCTGATATAAGTATTCCAACACTCACTTTCTTTTGTTTGTCTTTTGCTTGGACAAAAAGTCACAGAAGATTACAATCTAAATGACAGAGGATTCAAAATAGTTATCATAAACTCAATCAATTGCAAGAAAATACAGAAAGATATTTCAGTGTGCTCAGGAATAAAATTAATGAACAGGAGGAATACTAATGAACAGGAGGAATGCTCATCTTCTATGCCTTCACTGTGAGCCTATGTTTGTCTTTAGAGCTGAGATGTATTTCCAGGAGGCAGCATATTGTTGGGTCTTATTTTTTGATCCATCCAGGCATTCTGTGTCTTTTGAGGGCTAATTCAATCCATTTACATTTAGACTGATTATTGATATACGAGGGTGTAATGCTGCCATTTTATCCCTTGTTTTCCGGTTGTTCTATATTTCCATTGTTTCTTTCCCCTTGTATTTCTCACTGCCATTTCAGTTTGGTGGTTTTATGTGATGGTTTTCTCAGTTTTTCTTTATTTATGATTTGTGGCTCTCCTCTGATTTTTTGTTTAGTGGGTTACCATGAGGTTTGTATAAAAGATCTCATAGATGAGATAGTCCATTTTCTGATAGCCTCTTATCTCCATTAGCTTAAGCAAGTTCAATCCCTTTTCTCTTCTCCTTCTATGTTATTGTTTTCACAAATTTTCTTTTTTGTGTTGTGAGTTTCTGACTAAATTGAAGTGTTTATAGTTATTTTTGATGCTTTCCTTCCTTTAGCATTTATGTTATAATTAAGTGTTTGCTAACCTGTTCTGATATGCAATTTTCTGGTTTTGTCTGTCTATTTATCTCTTTGCTCAAAGCTTTGTAAACTTTTGCCTTTTTGTTTCAGGTAGGTGCGCTTGCTTCATCATTTCTTGTAAGGCAGGTCTAGTGGTGATGAACTCCCTCAGCTTTTGTTTGTCTGGGAAAGCTTTTATTTCTCTGTCATATCTGAAGGATAATTTTGCCTGATAGAGTATTCTTGGCTGAAAGTTTTTATCTCTTAGTATTTTGAATATATCATTCCATTTTCTCCTAGCCTCTAAGGTTTCTGCTGAGAAATCCATTGAAAGCCTTATAGGGGTTCCTTTGTAGGTTATTTTCTTGTGCCTTGCTGCCCTTAGTATTTCTCCTTGTCATTGCTTTTGACAGTTTTCATATTAAATGCCTTAGAGAAGGTCTCTTTGCATTGATGTAGTTAGGAGTTCTACTGGCTTCATGGACATGTAAATCCAGTTCCTTCCCTAGGTTTGGGATGTTCTCAGCTATTATTTCTTTGAACAAGCTCTCTGCTCCTTTCTCCCTCTCTTCTCCCTCTGGGATACCTATAATCCTTATGTTACTTTTCCTAATTTTGGGTTGGATATTTCTCTAAGAAAATTCATTTTTTTTAAATCTTAGTTCTCTCTCCTCCTCCACCTGAAGCATTTCTATATTTCTATCTTCTAAGTCACTAATTCTGTCTTCCATAATGTGTACTCTATTTTTTATGGTTTCTACATTATTTTTTATCTCATTAATTGTGTTCTTCATATCCAGAATTCCTGTATAGTTTTTTTTAAGAGCTTCAATCTCTTTGGTGAAATATTCCTCCTGTTAATTTTAATTAATTTTAATCCTGATCATATTGAACTATCTTTCTGTGTTTTCTTATAACTCATTGAATTTATGATAACTATTTTGAATCCTCTGTCAATTATATTGTAATTTTCTGTGACTTCAGGTTTGGTTTCTGGAGATTTGTCATTTTCCTTCTGTTCTGCAGTATTACTGTAGTTCTTCATGATGTTTGATGAATTGATCCTCTGCCAGTGCATTTGTGGTAATATTAGGTACAGATTCCACCCACCACTGCTGGGCAGGGTAGGAGCTGCATTTTCTGATCCTGCTCTGTCCACTGGTAGTTGTGCCAGTCAGGCTGCTCTTCGTTCACATGGACTGGCTGCAGCTCACATGCGCGGGGCCGCTGTACTCTGGGGGCAGGTCTGGCTGACATGCTGTACTCAGCAGTTGAGGCGTCTTTGCAAGGGCTGAGCCACCACTCAGTAGAGAGCATTTGCATGGGCGAGCCACCTTGGTAGGTGTGTGCTCCCGTGGGCTGGGCTACCACTCCAAAAAATGTTCATGTGTGGGCCGGGCTGTCCCCACCTCCAGTCACAGTCCTGCCAGCCACTGTGTGAGGATCCGCAACATGGATCACTGCTGCCAGGGAAGGGGAGGGGTCCACTCACAAGTTCCACTGCTTTCTGGGGATCTAGTCCACCCATTTTCAGATTATAGGATAGATTTCTCAGGACTCCTGTTGCGTTATGTAGGGAATCTTCTGTTGGTTAATGAATGTCCGTTTAGTTGTAACTCAGAGGGGAGAGACAAAAGGAACAAATCACTCTGCCCACAGATACCGACATCATTCTGTGATGGGTTGTTCTGAAGTGTCACTTTTGTGGGTTCGAGTACATTGACTCTGGCTTAGTTTTGATTTGCTTATGTAGGCTTCCCAGGTATCAGAGCCACCTCAACCTAATGGCCTCCTTGTTTAATTATTTTAACAGGCTCAGAGACTGTACCATCAACTTCTGTCTGAGTTTCCAGCCTGCTGATCTGCTCTACAAACTTCAGATTTGCAGTCTCCACAATTGTGTGATCCAGTTCCTTAAAATAAATCTCTATACCTACACCTATATCTATCCTTTTGCTTTTTTCTCTCACAGATACAGTACTGGCTGATACAGGAAGATTTCATGAGTCAAAATAGAGGAAGGGTCCTTGGTGGGGAGGAAAGGAGAATGAGTGGTAATACCATCTGAGGGTAGTTTGATGCAACAAATCCATCCCAGGCTGTGCCAATATCCAATGTACCCTGCAGGAGAGGGGCAGGGAAGCAGAGGGTTGTTGGGGCTGAGGACTATAGGTGGGAACAACACTCCTAGCACCTGGCTGTGAGGAGAAAGGACACAGCATTTGCTGAGGTCCACTCTGACCAGGGGCCCACTGGCACATACTGCTCTGGGAATGATGTCACTGTCATAGACTAAATAGGATCATGGTTTGGGCTGGTGCAGTGAGGGAAGGGCTAGTTAGAGCCAGTACGTGTTCCTTAAAGGCCGACTATGTGCTGGCACCTCTATAACACACATTTCTTCTTTCCCACGTGCTGGCTTGTTCCTGGCTTGCTGAGTTACTGGGGGTGGCTGGCCTGAGCACCAATGCCATGAGCACTCCTCTTTCCATTCTTCCTGACACAAGTTCGGGCAACCCCCAAGCAAGAAGGCCCTGCCTGCCCAGCTGCCTGGAAAGGCCTTGGCTGCCCCTCAATTTGGACATCGAAGTGCTGGCAAAGCTCCAATCCCCACATATCCCCAGGGGGAGTCCTGGGGGTTGCTGGGCTCCTGTGTCATAGTATGGTGTGGTGAGGTGGTGAGAGCTGGGGCTGTGGCATCAGACAGACTGGGATTAGATCCTAAGACTTAACCTGTGTGTCAGGTTCTCATGGGGAGATGAAACAATCAAAGCATTTGAGAGGCCTTCAGTGGAGGGGAGCCCCTGTTGTTATGATGTGTAAACTGTAAAGAGCCAGGTGAACCCATTCTCTATGTACATTCAGTGGATTAGAGTTCTCCAGAGAAACAGAGCCAATAGGATGTAGGATGTACACACACACACACACACACACACACACACACACACACACATACACATCCATACATATATAGATAGACAGATAGATGTACACACACACGCACATAAACATATATAGAGAGAGAAACTTATTTTAAGGACGAGGCTCATGTGATCATAGAGGCTAACAAGTCCAAAATCTGTGGTGTGGGCTGGCAGGTTGGGAAGAGTGGCACTTCGAGTCTGAAGGCAGTCACTGGCAGATTTCCCTCTGCCTCCAGGGAGGTCAGTCTTTTGGTATATCAGTCCTTTGACTGATTGGATGAGGCCCACCCACATATTGGAGCGTAATCTGCTTACCCTAATACTACTGATCTAAATGTTAATCCCATCCAAAAATATCTCCATAGAAACATCTAGAATAATGTTTGACCAAACATCTGGGTACCATGGCCTAGCCAAGTTGACACATAGAATTAACTATCACATCCAGTGTGCATGCCCAGGGACATTATACACTCTTTGCCCAGGAACCTCACCAGAAAGTGCTCAGAACACTATGGGATCTGGCTTGGACTCCAGTAGGAGTCTTTATTACCATGAAAAGCAGATGTAGCTGGTTTTACCCTGAAGTCCTGTAGCACAGGATTGAGGTCAGCACCATTCCTGGGCTCCCAGAACATGCAGGATGAGTGGGTGGCCTCCAGAACTCTCTAGAACCCATCAGAACAATGCCCTGAACCCAGGGTGTGCTGCAATTACCCTGTGTTATGGCACCTCCAGGGACAGATCCTGCCTGTCCTCTTCTTGAAAGTCTGGGCCTCAATGCACCCAGCACCCCTGAATAGGAGCACAGTGAGAGCAGGAGTGTGCCCTGCAGCAGGCCAGCGTCTTATACAAAATGATTCTGAAAATCCGACACAGGCCCATGATACTTTTAACCACTTTATAATAATGAGAAACTAAAACCATCAAAATGCTTTTGGGACAGCCCCCTCCAAATCGTCCCGGAAGGCTGAGGCAGGTGCAACCTTGGCTGCCGGCAATCAAACTTGGAAGCTGCCCACCCTCATTCGTTCCCTCCCCCTCCCAGCCCTTCTGCATCACAAATCTTCATCGTCAAAGGTCTCCATGCACCTCACCATTATCATCTCATCATCAATGGGAATATCTGGCTCCTGCAAAACACAAGGTGGAAGAGGATTAAATTTTATTTAAGGACTCCAGGCCTCAGGCAGGTGAGAAGCTCCCACCATCTCAGGCATGCCCTGCTCCCTCAGTCGCTGCTCCATGTCTCTTCAGCTGTATCTTCTTCTCCAGCTTCTGGCCAGGAGGTGAGGGCCACACGGGGGAAGGTCCCATTTCCATTTCACTCAACTCCATACTCTAGAATCTCCAGAAAGGCTTTTCCTGGATAAAGAAAACTGGCTTCTTTCCTATCCTGGGGATTTCCAGGATTGCATGAGAGAGACAGGGAAAACCTTAAAGCTTTATGCAAATGTCAATTAATAGAAGACAGTGAATTATACCCTGGTGCATCCACCGATGGAATACCATACAGCTGGTTCAAAAAAAAGAATGAGATTGCTCTCTCTCTGTGGGATATGCTATTACAAAGGGCAAGGTACAAAGCCACGTGCATAGCAGGCTCCCATTTGTGTTTGAAACAATATATGAATATTTGAGCATATCTTTGGATGGCTGTACAAGAAACTGGTAATGGTAGTTGCCTTTGGGGAAGGGAATGGGGTAGTAGCCAAGGGATACTGGTTGCAAGTTATTTGTATATCTTTTGGTAACACCTGAATTTTAAACCATGTGCCTGGGTTAGCTATTAGGAGATAATTTATTTAGGAAGCAGCACTATGTTTGTTTAGCAAGCGTTTCTCATTCCCTGTATGATGACCCAGCCAACCTCTCTGACTCCGCATTCCCTCTTCCCCTAACAGTGTGTTCCTGGGTTTTTGCTCTTCTTGTCACTACCCACCTGTAGATAATGACCCCTGTAATTTGTTAGCCCCACTGGTCAGGGGTTGATCCCCTTGTGCCCTGGGAAGCATCCCTAACCCCAATCAACCATCTGTTGAATGTGTGACCTGGTCCCAAGGGTGACGGCCAGATTGGGGGACGACCCTGCAAATGAAGCCTTCTCAGCTCTGGAGAACAGTCCTCACTTATCGTGCTCTACTGATGGAGGAGGGGTGCACGGGGATCCAGAGTCTCCAAGAAGGGGGACAAGTGGTCTCTGGGAAAATCACCCGGGCCCCTTGTTCAGGGTGAAGACAACCGCAAAGTTTGAGAAAAGAGACAGTGTCAGAGTGAAGGGGGTGTCAGGAGGCCAAGCATCCTGGGAGGGAACAACCCACTCAAATCTCTGTCACACAAAGTGCTTGAATGTTGTTCCAACGTTCCACTTCCTTAAGCCCCTGAAAATGGTGTCTGACGCATGTTTAAGCTGCAGAGTTTTGAAATCAATAGGCTGTGAGAAGTGTTTGCTGGAACTGGGTGTTGAAGTGCGTTGAATAGTGCTGCCCCCAAATTCATGTCCACCTGGAACCTCATTTGGAAATAGAGTCTTTGCAGATGCAATTAGTTAAGGATGTCAAGGTGAAACCATCCTGGATTTAGGGGGTCCCTCAATCCAAATGACTGGCATCCTTATAAGATGATGAGAGGGACAAAGACACACAGAAGAAGGCATGTGAAGGCAGAGGCAGTGACTGGAGGGACGCAGCTGCAAGTCAAAGAATACCAAGGATTGCTGGGAGCCACCTGAGGTGAGGAAAAGGCAGGAAGGATTTTTCCTTAGAGCTTTCAGAGATAGCATGGCTCTGCGAACACCTTAATTTGACCTTCTAGCCTCCAAAACTAGGAGAGAATAAATTTTTGTTATTTTAAGCCACCACGTTTGTGGTTATTTGTTACAGCAGTCCCAGGAAACCAATACAGTGCTCATTAGTTTCATCCACCACCTCCTATGAAGCTGACAGAGTCAGGTGAATGGGGAAGTGAAGGAAATTTCCCTCTTTACATCAGCATCTATCAAAGCCCAAGGCCTCCTGCACCAGAACCTCTTGGACAGCTTCTTCAAAATGTAGGTTCCTGGAGCCCCATCTCGCAAGACTGAAGGGGAATCTTGGGTGCTGGAGCATCAGGAATCTGTGTTTCCAATAAGCTCCCGCGTGATTCAGGTTTGAGCACCTGTGCTCTATATGGATCACCCGGTCCCTGCTTGTTCTACATTTTCTGCCGTGTGTGGAGAAAGGAAGCAGGAAAGCTAAGGTTGTCTCGTTAATCCATTCTACAGGCCATGCTACAGTGGACTCACTTCACCGTGTCCCAGAGACAAAGGGACACAGGGGTGAGGGAGGAGCAGCCATGGATTGGTGGGAGGAGGAGAGCACAGCACAGGGAGGGGCGCTCGGCTCCAAATGAGATTCACGTGGTCTCGGCAGAGGAACATGAAGATTAGTGGGAAGAGGGCCTCATTTTCCTCAGCCTATTGAAAAGCTGTCTTAACGACTTTTAGACATTTTCATTTTTATTACTTACCTTTTTAAATAAACAGTTGTATGTTTTCTATTTAGTGAGAAAATCCATGGGTACGAATCTAAAAGGGCCTGTCCCCTTGCTGGCTCACGCATAACCCTTTCCCCCATGAAACCTTCCAGGAATGAACCTGCTAACCAAGACCCCCATGACTTATGTCACCATAAGCTGCAGAGTCAGCTTTTTGGAAGCAGAAATGAATATCCTTCTAAAGCTGACAGCAAATATCACCCCAGGGTCTCAGAAGATGATGAAACAGTTCAGCCTCTTGGAAAGGTGTCAAGGAGTCACACAACATTTAGGAATGCCTGCGAAGAGCCAGGGTCCTGGGGTCTGGTCTCTACTTCAAGGAGCTCCCAGTCTCAGGTCTGCCCTGAAGAGCATCCCTCTGTCTCTTCCCTCAGTTTCCCCAACATCTTCCATCCCACAGGAAGCATTAGGCTGAAGTCGACCATCCACAGAGCAGGCAAGAGAGAAGGAAAGATCGCCCTTGCCAGTAGCTCCTTGTGATGCCATCCGGGTGAGGTCCAGCCAGGGCTCTGCATATAGAACTGAAAATTCTCTGGATTTTCTGGGTCGCAGTTGGCAAACATCACACTGACAACAGAAAGGAAGAAGAAACAGCAAATATTTAGAATCCTAAACTCTTACCTCTGCTTGTGCCCCCTAATGTATCTGGATGACAGTGTAAACCAAGCACTTTTCAACATCCAGTTGAATCCTTGGATAGCCCGGAGCCCTTGGAAGGTTTGCGTTGCCTCCGTTGCAATGTCACATCTAGAACCTGGTGGGAAAGCGAGACTTTAGGGGGACAGGCTCTTGTGTCCTAATTTAGTATCTGAGCTGCCGCCTCCGGAACAAGGGAGCAGGATTTCCTCTCCACCTCAGAGTCAGCCTGGTACAGCACTGTCCCACCTGTGGCTGCTGAGGGAGCTGAGGGAGCACACGGCCCATCTGAGTTCAACCCCTTGACGTGCCTCCACTCAGCAGGTCTAACAGGAACACAAGCCCTGACGCAGAGAGGAAGCCTGTCTTGCAGATTCCTTTCCCACTGCCTTCCTGGGACAAGGGGAGGAGCCCAAGAACCGGGGCCATAGAGCAGAGAAGCTGGGAGTCGTGCCCATACAGCCAGCATTTCGACCTCACTTCCTCCTGGAAGGAGGTCCCACAGTCAGCTTAGGAACCTTCTGACAGCAGCCCCTGCCTTTTCTAGGGAAAGTAGAAAAAGAATTTTAGTGGGTTGTTTCTTTGTTCCGCCAGCAGGGTAAGGGGTTCCAAATATTGCTTGGCAAGTACACTTTGGCAACTTCTCAACAAAGTTGTCCCGGCAGCCCAAGCACCGCTCAGAAAGAGGAATGTGTGCCTCCAGCCAGTTTCAGCAAAATCAGTCTCCACACACAGCTAAGAAGAGCTGAGTCACACATAAAATCGCTTTGGAGGTTTTGGACAAGTCTGTCCAGGCCGAGGTGGAGCAGGAGGAGTGGAGGAACACATGCTGATGTCTGATCTGCCCGCAGGAGGCCAGGTTCCCAGGCACAGCTGTGGCCGCACGGCCTCAGGGGTGAATGGAGATATTTTTGGGATCATGGGGACATGAATGTTGCCCTCTCTCGCAAAGCACAACAACTAAATGTTCAGGCTTCTTTTTAGCCATGACACCAGTGCAGGTCTCTGAAGGGCCTGCTCCTTCAGGCCGTAAGACCACAGATTTTCAAAGCACGAGGGAATTTCAGTCCTAAACTAGCTCTCTTTGAGAAAACGCCCCTGACCTACAGACTTAGTCAAGCTGCTTGTTTTATAGTCTCCCCAGATCCTGTTCTGTGTCTTCTCACTTCACGGGGTCAGCCATGCCCCCTCCCCTCCTTCCACATCCATCCCATCAGCATCGTGAAAAGCAGCTGCTCCCCCTTGTGCAGCTCAGAGACTCCCCTAAGCTCAGGGCACAGGCCTGTTTTCCCATTGGCCCGGGTTCTCCGTGCCCCAGAGACCCCTGCCCACCTCTCAGACTGGACCGACGGCTGTAACCTGCCCTCGGCCACCTCGCTCCGGGAAAACAGTGCAACACGCACAGTTTGGAGCTGATAGCCTGTTGTGTCTCAGCCCCAGGCCAGGACGGAAGAAGTTTCTACTCTGATGAAATCCCAGACAATATCACCCCCAGGGCCATGGCTCAATCCTGGGACCTGCAGGGCCCCTCGAATCACAGAAAAGAGTGGATCTCCAAAAACTTCCACTCAATTATGCACCCATCCGGGGAGCTGTGGGAGAGGCTCCTAAACATCCAGCAGGAGTACACACATGCCCAGACACACACATACACTCACACACTCATACACTCACCCGTATACACAGTCACACACACAGTGTCTCACACCCCCTTCCTCACCTGGGGCTAGATGCACTTGGAACCTCACTTTTGTCCAGGACACTTGCCATGTCGAAAGCATCTTCAAAAAGCATCTGAAAGAAGCACAGAACTTCGTGTGTCAGACATAACTCTCCGGTTTGACTCTTGCTCTGGGCTGCTGGGGGAAATGAGCACAAAGTCTCTCTCTTACTCCTCACCCCCGAAAGGCGAGCATGTTAAAGCTGGGGCCCACACCCAGGGTCTCTGCTTGGTGACCTTCCCAGGGGGTACACATTAAGCTCTTGCCTGCCCAAAACAAACTGCCAACCCCGGAGGTGGCTGAGAGGGACAAGGAAGCCCTGGGGATGGCGATGTCCTCTTTCTAAAGAAGGTGGGAGCTCAGATGCAAGATGCAACAGCCAGAGCCAAGCCTCAGTTTACACTGGCAAAGCCTTATCCACACCACCCGAGGAGCAGTGACTGTTTGAGCCCAGGACCCACCATCTAGCAGTTTCGTGCCAGGACAGTAGAATATAGAGGTCAGGGGGCTCTGGAGTTAGGCTGCAGGTGAGCCGACTCCCAGCTCTGCCACTAGCTAAGCTGTGTGACCTCGGGCAAGTGAATCAATTTCTCCAATCCTCCTCTATGAAGGGAAATCACAACAGCAATGTCACGAGAATTAAATAAGACGTTATATGTGAAGCACCTGGCATACAATAGTGGCTCAAATACATTAGCTATTATTGAATATTATCTGTTTTATAAAAGAAACACATGTTCCTTGTGGAAATTTCAGGAACTAGATAAAGAAAATAAAAATCACTGAGAAACAATTCCACCCAGAGATGTCCATCGTTGACGTATTGATCTATTCCCTCCAGTCATTTCTCTAGGCACATTATATCATATATTCCCAATTTTGGTATCTTGCTATTTAGATAATTTTCAATCCTGCTTTTCTTTAATTTGTTGAAGAGTATGAAATACTCCACAGAATGTGATATGTGTTTAAGATTGCAAGATTTAGCAGATAAAAATACGATGCTTGGTTAAATTTGAATTTGAATTTTAGACAAAGAATGAGTAATTTCGCATGGGACATTCTTATATTAAAATTTTAACTGGGCATGCTTTGTTTTGTCTGGCATCCCATTTACAGACACAGCCACCCTGAAGAGAGGGAGTTCTTTAGCCCTGAGTTGGCAGGTTCTGGCTGGTTATGGCATGTTCTGGCAGGTGCCAGAGGGCCTCTGCTCTCCCCTTACCTGGGACACTCTGCTCCTTCCCTGTAGGCCTCGTGTCTGCCCTTTATGTCTTCTTACAATTTGCTTCCCCTGAACTGAATCCCTTGGGATTCTGGCCATGTGAATTGGCCCACTCCTGGTTTTCTGGACATTTTCTGGTGCTCTTCTTTTTGCTATCCCTTTGGTCACCTCAAAGAGGATCTGGAAACGGGTCACTGAAAGGCCTGAGCTCTTGTGTCCACCAGCCCAGAAGCCCATCGGCTCCATGTTCCTCCTCGGTGGGCTTGAGGCAGGGACCCAGGAGCTAAATTCCTGCCCTCAACCCATCAGCCCACCAAAGCTGCGGCGACACACTGTCCCCACCTATGCAAACCCCTTCTACAAGTGAGCCCGAGGGGCACGGCCAGGATGCTCGGCCCTTCTGGAGCACCCAGCACACTTACAGGCCACGCCTCTCAGCACTGAAAGGGCACTGTCCAGACACTCCTGGCACACCTGACCCTGAGTCCAGGGGCTGGCCCCGAACTCAATTCTTCCACAGCACCACCTCTCCATATGGACCAGGAGCTACAGAGGTTTCACTGCACTAATTTAAAAGCCACAGCAGGAGTTCCCTTGGCTCCGACCTTGCCCTGGGCGTTAACTTTTCTCTGTTCTGCCCACATTTCACCAGCCCTGGGTTGGCCTAAGCCTGGGGCCGGCAGTGCGGGCAGAGCCCTGCTTTGGGCACGGCTGAGGGACTCTGCTGCCAGCTTCCCAAACACCAGAAGAACATGAGCCCATAGTTCTTCCTAAAAAAGGCCAGATAAGCTGCTTCCATGATTTGGGGACATTAGATTCTGGGGTTTTCTCTTTGGGTCTGCTCTTCCTTAAGGAAGCGTGCATGCTTGCAAACGCACGCACACACAGTCATTTTACAGTTTGAATTGTTCACGTGTTTGGCATATATTTTCCTTTTGCCTTCTTTGATGTGAGACACCAGGGCCGGCCACTTTGGGGCTACAAAGGTGTCTAGGCTGGCTGGTGCATGCCTCGGGAATGCGTTTTTCGGCTGCTGGTTGTCTGGCCCTGCTTTGACCGTTATGGAGGAAAACTCATGTCCTCTCATGCTGGACCCAACACCAGTGGACAAACAGATGAGAAGTCCGGTGGAGTGACGATTGGGGGTGGGGGATGTGGGTGGTAGCTGATTGACTGTTGCGGATCTGCACCGGGAGTTCCCTCCAATCTGGCCCACGTGTATCAGTCACCTGGAGAGCTTGTTAAAATACATATTCTGAGCCACCCCAATCAGGGACTCTGATTCCGTGGGTCTGTGGTATTAACCAGGCACCTGCCTTTGTACTAAACTCCACTTGAGAAGCATCAGGGGAGATCATGGAGGGTTGACCATAAACAGGTAACCAAAGGGCAAAGAGCTTTGAAAAAATCTGTGATGAAGGAGATACGATCCCTGAGGCAGGAACCGGACATCCTGGACCAGTCACCTACTCGCTAGGCCTCGTCTGTAAACTGGAAGGACTGGACTAGTGACTGACATCCCGTTGTCTCCAGCCTGGGCCCTGATGGCTTGGAAACTTCCTGGAGGATGGGGGCGTTCCAGAGCTGTACCTGCTGGAGGCCATGGATGCTAGATGTCCTGCAAAGCACAGGACAGGCGCAGAGAGCCAAGAACTGCCTGCCCCTGGGCTGGAGAAGAGAGGGCAGACACAGCCCATGTGGTGGCAGCAGGCTTCTGAGGCTGTCCTAATCCTGGAAGAGCAGCTGAGGGGCCCACGTTGACCTCAGCGCTGAGGGACTGCTAACACCACCCGATGCTCTGCTTTGCTGACCGTGGCCGTTCTTACAGCTTGAACTCTGAGAGCACATTTACAGTAGCCCTGAGGTAGCCTCCTCGATGTACGTTCCCCTCTCTTCACGGAGTGGCAGCAATGCTCTTTGGGGTGGGAACTAACCTCCTCCCAGGGATTGGGCCTGATTGGTCCAAATGTAATCCTATCTTGATTATGCCAGTCATTGGCTCAGTAATCTGGCAATCTGCCCAATTCTGGCCAATGAGAGGGCAGGAGAGGTATGGTGGAAATTTCTGGAAAAGTTTTTCCTTGACCCTTAAGAAAGAGCCACAAGGAATCTTTCTCTCACTTACTTTGTGTAGAGAAGGAATAATGACAGCTTGGCTGCTACTAGCTGCCATCCCACAGTCACAGGGATTGGGGACAGCAGAGAGGGGAGAAAAGGTGAGAAACCAGCCTTAAGAAGAGGCAGAGCAGGGAGAAGGGAAGAGCCGAGTCCGTGGTGACATCACCAAGGTCACGGAAGCCCTGCCTGCCCCGGGGCCTCCCTGGCTGTGAGTATACATTTCTGCATGGTTTAATGAGCAAGTAACTTGAAGCTAGAAGAATCCTAACTGACAGAACCTTCTAAGCCTTCTCATCAAAATCCCCATGGAAAGGCCGGGAAACTCAGAGGAGAAAAAGAAATGCTGCTCTGTGGTCACGGAGATGATGTCAGGAAAAACAAAACCCTACTGCACGAGCCAGAACCCAAATAGGCCCTCCAACTTGCTCAGTGACTCAGAGCAGATCCCTGGTGTCTCCAGGCCAAAGGTGATGGAGTCGTTCCTGTGCACCCCTCCACCCCACCCCCACAGGGTCTGCGCACCTCCTCCGAGGTGGAAACCAGCGACCAGCTGGCGCCTTGGCTGTCGACTCCACTGTCCTTCACGCTGCCCTCAGCACAGGCTGCCTCCTGACAGGCCCCTGCGAGGCCCGAGAGGCCTCTGTGCTTCTGCGCGCAGGCCTGCAGGTGACTGACCTTCCTCTCCTCAGAGAGGTTCTGCCACAGGTGGGAGATGCCTGCAGAGACGATGGGGAGTGTCACCTCCTGCTAGGAGACATTCTCGTTCCCCATCATAAGGTCCACCGTCTGCTTGTAAAAGTTGAGATACCTGGAACAGAAATGCACCATCTCCCAGACCTGAAGCTAGTGGCTGAAGGTCCCTCCCCAAGCCCTCTCCTCAGGATTCCACTCATGGGGTGGTCCACAGCACACAGGCCTCACCGCAGCTCTGTGCTGGACCAGGGGCTTAGCCTTTACTAGTCTCTGTGCACCCCCAATGCTTAGAGCACAGAAGCCATCTTGGGGGCCATGAATGATATAGATTTGTGCTCTGGGGTCCTTCCCCAAGTCCTCCCCGAGCCCCCTGTGAAGATCTCCCTGATAGAAGAGAAGATGAGAGGTGCGGCTGGCTCAGCTCTTGCCCATGGGAAAACTGCTTAAAATTCCGAACCCATGAAGCTGCAGATATGATGTGATGCTCGCTTTAATTTGAAGCCTGAAAGTCAGGCTGAGCTGTGGAGTGAGCTTCCTTCTACTGGGCCAACACCTCTGGAATCCAACATGGCTGTCAAGGGTCTCAAGTCTGTGGAGGGACAGTGACAGTGGGAGTCTGAGCCAGGCATTTGCTGTCTTTCTTACTATAATACCAGTAATGCTGCTGAAAGCAGTCTTGTGGGGGGATGGGGACTGGGTTATCCCTCATAATCCCCATCAATAGCTCCCTCAATGGCACCCCCAATAAACACCCAGTCTAAGTAAACAAATTGTATGTGCTGTGCCAGTGTAGCTTTAAGACTATTTCTCTAGCCCCTCCGCCAACCCCATTCCTGAGCCCAAGGTATATGGAAATTCTGGAGCTTCCATGACTCAGGGCCTGGTCTGAGAGAGCGCTGAGGCTGCAGCATGCCCGAGCTGGAGCCTCTGTCCCCTTCCCCACAGGAGCTTCAGCTGTGCACGAAGCCACCTCTCCCAGCCTTTCACACCGTTCAAATTCCATGAGGTCTGGCAACAAGGTGACTGGGGAGTGTAAGAGCTCCACTGTTTTCTCCTCTTCCTCCTCCTCTTCCTCCTCCTCTTCCTCCTCTTCCTCTTCTTCTTGGTCTTCCTCCTCTTCTTCCTCCTCTTCTTCCTCCTCAGCATCCTTCCCAACAGCCTCAATTGCATACCAGGTGACGGAGCCCTTCTGATAATTTGAGACCAGGCTGGGGAGGAAACAAACAAGACAACTATAGACTAATGTCCCTCATGAAATCGACACCGAAATTCTTAACATGATGTTAGAAACAATATACACATACATAAAGGTCAATGCATCACGACCAAGTGGGGTTTATCCTAGGAATGCAAGATGGCTGCTTCAAATTTTGAACATCAATCAATGTAACTCACCATTATCAACAGACCAAAGAAGAAAAACCACATGGTCATCTCAATACATGCAGAAAAAGCCCTTGGCAAAATTCAACATCCATTCATGATAAAACTCTCAGCAAACTAGGAATAGAAGAGAACTTCCTCAACTTGGTACAGACCGTCTACAAAAAACCTACAGCTAACATCATACTTAACTGGAGATTCTAGCCAGTCCAGTAAGGAGAACAAAAGAAATAAAAGGTATACAGATTGGAAAGGAAGAAGTAAAACTGTCTTCATTTGCAGACAATGTGATTATCCATGTAGAAAATCCCAAAGAATCTACAAGTAACAACTAGAACTGAGAAAGGAGTATTTAGCAAGGTTGCAGAATACAAGGTCAATATACAAAAACCGATAGTATTTCTATATATTAGCAATGAACAATTGGAAATTGAAATTTTAAATAGTACCATTTACAATAGCACCAAAAAACATGCAATACTTAAGTTAAATACTTAGATTTAAACCAAAAGCTCAATCTAGAAAAGAAAAAATGGATAAGTTGGACTTTATAAAAATTTTAAAATTCTGCTCTTTAAAAGTCAGAGACATTGAAACAACATGACACAATTTGGAAAACCAGGACATGTACCCCGAATCTCTTCATACTGATAGGAGTAATCCCCAAGGTGTCATAAGCAAGTGCACCCGAGGAAACATAGGAGGAATCTTTTTTTTTTTAAATCTCAGAGCAGAGGAAGCTCTGAGTATTTCCGCAAACTCAGGTGCTATAAGAGATCAGTAGATGAGACTTCTTCACATGGCCAAAACAAAAACCAAAAACATGAAAAGCAAAAGAATAAAACAAACAACCAAGGGAAAATTGTTGGCTAGTCATATACTAGAAAGAGATCTAATTTCTCAGTATACATAAAGTGCCTCTACCATGAAATAAGAAAAAGACCACCAATCCAACAGGAAAATGGGCAAAGAATAGGTACAAAAAGGTCCCAGGAAGAGAAATACAAATGATCTTGAACAAAGGCACCTGAGCTCACTCATAATTTAAATACTTAAGTGACTAAAATATAATAATCATAAAATATAATTAATCTATTCCTATGCTGGTACCACAGTTTTTATTATCATAGGTTTATAATATTTTTATTATAATATTAATAGGAAGAAATAATATAAATAGGGAGAAAAAATTCTCCCTAATTATCATGGTTTTAAAAGAAATTTAGCCATTCTCACCTGGGCAAGTGATACAAGCATTGATAAGACTGTAGTATGTGATAAAGTTTGTGTCCTAAACCAGTAAGGAAAGGAAGGCTCATGTCAGAAATGGGGTGGGATCAGTGTTCAATCGCTTGGGAAATGCCAATGCAGACGCCCACCTCTCTGAGACCGTCTCCCAGGCTGATTGTGTTGCGGGGCTCAGTCTGACTTGTAAGATGTGGCCACAAACATGCTGCCACGTACACTCAACAGGTACACATACCACACCTGCCTCCTCCCCTCTGCAACCAAAATGCAAACCAGAAGTTGTCTGTATGGAGCGCAATTATACATGACGTGTCCTTCTTTATACTCTTCTGTATTCTCACAGTGTTTACAACGTGAGTTTTACTTAATTTTAATATTTATCACTTCCCTGATTATCTCCCTTAGGATATAATACACGTTCATTATTTTTTAAAAATCTGAAAACACAAAAAAGCACAGAGAAGAAAATAAGTCATCAGCAACCCCACTAAAAACAAAAGGAAACATCACTTCTTCTAGGCAGGCTCGTGGTAGGTTCTGAATAGCAAGCAGCTTGCAGTCCCATCTGCAGAGCAAGTAAAATTGCTCGTACTCTTGAGTCTCATCAGAGGCCAACCTGGATACACACTGCGATGCACATGCCCTGGGGCCACCAGAGATGATGAGGGCCCAGCCACTACGCCAAAACCCAAGCTGCTCTTGAGGCAACTCTGCAGGATGAAGATGTGGTGCAGGGGGTTACGTCATCCCTGGAGAGCACAGCAAAGGATGTGTCTACACAGTACACGTAAAGAGCCCAGAGAGCGTGAGAGTTAAACACAAAACATGAGCTCATAAAAGTAAAGAAAGACACTTTTCAAGTCAGTATCTCTTTCAAAGTCTGAGTGCGAATTATGAACGAGGTTCCCTTTCAGCATCTGTGAATGTGGGTCTGCTGTTTTTTCCTTTCCTCTCTGAAGTCCAGTTTGGCTTTTCTTAGGTTCCTATAAGGCTTGAAAAGTAGGAAGAGATTTGGAGTTTCCTTATCTTCATAGGCATCCTTCAATAAAGCTGTTAGTTGAGTTTTTTTAAAAGCTATAATACAATATGAACACTATGATCTCATTTCTCTATAAAATAATGTGCCTAATGAAAAACCAGGATATTCTTTAAAATTAATATTGATTTGAGAGAAGTCAAGATGGCGGCGTAGGTGGACTCTGAACTCACCTCCTCCCGAGGACACAGCCAATTTACAACTACTGTTGGAAAAATTACCCCTGAGACAGAACTGAAAACTGGATAAGAGGAAGTCCTGCAACAGACGACAATCCTAATTGAGGTGGAAGAGGTAGAAATTCCCTTCTGGAGAGAAAAAAACGCCACCTTCACAAGCCGCAGCACTTCACAGCCGCTCTGGAGCAGGCCAAAGGTACGCAGCCCTCCCTGGAGGAGTGGGGACCTGAGCAGGGGATCTTTCCCACTATAGGCATTTTTTGGACCCAGCACAATTGAGATGAGTGGCATAATATCTGACTTTGCTTGCTACTAAAACATTGGGGAGTACCCCTAGAAAAGCTGGCTCACAAAGAAACTAAAACTGGCTCTTAAAGGGCCCACACAGAAACTCACCCATTTCAGAAAGCAACCTAAAATCACCAGAAAGAAAGGTTCACAGTGCTTTGGTGAAAAGAGACTCATGTGATAGGCTCTGAGTGCATCTCGGTGAGAGGTGAGACCTCTCCAGGGACTGTGACATTGGCGGCAGCCATTGTTGTGGCCTAGTGTGGGCATGCTGACACAGACAGTGGCAGATGCCATAGGAGTTCTCCCTGGGGCCTGCTAGCCCAGGGTCTGATCCACCCACTAGAGCATCACTTTAATCCAGCTCAGCCAGGGTGGGCAGCCCACTCTGGCACTAGCCCCAACCAACAACAAGCCCACAGGCAACTTGTGGGCCTGCATAGTTTTGTGACTGGATTCTCTGCAGCCTGGTGACTGGGTCCATCTCTCTGTGGGGCAGTGCGTGCACAAGGAGTGGGTGGAGAGTGTGGGGTGGTGGCAGAATGTGTGTGGCTCCTGCCTTGGAGAGACTGGGTCCACTTCAGGAGGTCAGGGCATGAGCACAAGGCAGGACTGTCTTGACTGTGTGTGTGGACCTGTGCATGGTGGGGCTTGCCAGCTGCAGAAGACTTGTGCTTCTCAAACAGCCACACAGGGGATCAGCCCTACCTTCCAAAGCCTGAAACAATTGGGTGCTCTCATGCCTGAGGCCAGCTCCACCCAGCTATAATCCTCAGAGAACTGACAAGAGACCTAAAGGCAGGAGGCTTATAGCAATTGTAAGCCAGTGAGCCTAACAACCTGCCATGCTGGGGGCCTACTCAACAGAAGTACTGCAATAGGAATGTGCTATTAGAATTTGCAGCCAACTGTGCTGGGGATCCCCAAACCTGATAAAGAGACTAAAGGGCCCACAACAACTACAAGCAGCTGAGCATTACAACAGCTGGCCAGGGGCATAGCTCAGCATCCCTGGGCACCTACAGGAAGAGAAACCATGCCACAACAGAAGGACACACTTAACCCACATAGGAGTCACTCCTGGAACATTCGGAACTGAGGGAAGCACACTGCAAGACCTCATAAGGCATCACTTATATAAGATCAACTTTCCAAGGGCAGGAGACATAGCTGACCTACCCAATATATAGATACAAGCACAGGGAAAGAAGCAAAATGAGGAGGCGAAAGAATATGTTCCAAGTAAGGGGACAGGACAAAACCACAGAAAAGGAACTAAGTGAAACAGAAATGAGCAACCTATCCAACAGAGAGTTCAAATAAAGAATGTTAAGGATGCTCACTGACCTGGGGAGAAGAATGGATGAACTCAGTGAGAAGGTCAACAAAGAAATGGAAGAAATATAAAGGAACCAATCAGAAATGAAGAATTCAATACTGGAAATGAAAAATTCACTAGAGGGTCTCAAAAGCAGAGTAGAGGATACAGAAGAACGGATCTGTGAGTTGGATGAAAGACTAGAAGAAATCACCCAAGCTGAACAGATAAAAGAAAAAAGAATTAAAAAGAGTGAGGACAGTCTAAGGGACCTCTGGGACAACATCAAG